AAAAATTGAAAAAGGGGGTTTTTAATTTTTTTTGAAATGTGCCCTAAAGAAAAAAAAAAAAAAAAAAAAAAAATCCTCCAGCTGTAGGCCACTCAGAACACCTCCTCTTGCTTCGACTTTCATTTTTTAAGACATAGAGTTATAGATTAGTTCAGAGTTGTGTTCCTTCTCCTCCAAATTTAAATATTTTTAAGAACTGATTAATTGACTTTTATAGTCCAGCAGCTTTTCAGAAGAATATAATTCATTGTGTTATCAGCATTGGAGGAAAACCTTGAAGAAGCTTTGGAAAAAATAGTTGATCAAACCATATTTACAATCCTCTTCTTGGAAATAAAGATATCATTTTTTTTGTCAAATGTGATATACTTCTGCAAATGGGATCGCCACAGTTAGATTATGGCAGACTCAGAAATCTAAATTAAAAATCACTGGTCCTCTCACTTGCCCGTCGCAGCAATAAATGTTAAGAATTCATAAATGCCAAAATTTTCTTTTGGAGTAAACAGCAAATGGGAACACAACAAAAACAGGAATGCGCAGCTGAAAAGGCGTACAAGAGGCTTCCAGATGAAGCAGATTTATTGAGTGAAACAAAAGCGCATCTATCCATCTTTTATGTCTGGATCAGGATTCAGGATTGCAGGGGGCTGGAGCCAATCCCAGCTTGGATTTTAGCAAAGAAAGAAAAAAATGAAAAAAACGTTGAAAGTAGGCTAATGGCACAAAACAATTCCCAGTGCTAGGACGTCTTTTTTATAGACACAACGTGTTTTCATGCTGAGCAAACAGAGATGAAAGTTAAAGGGGAGATAAATCGAATGAGAAAAACAACACTCACAATCCTGTCACTCACTGACAGTGTGGAATGTGGCCTCGGTTTTTCCGTTTTGGAATTCTATTTATGTTTTCTTTTATATTGTTTGTTTTGATTGCTTGCTTGTCATATTTTGAAATTATGTATTTTCTTAGGTTTAGCTGAGTTAAACTTTTGAGTTATTGTTTTGCATGTTTTCTGATTGTTTATTTTGGAGGTCACGTGTCCGGATACCCAAAGAAGCCCTGCACCGGTGCTATACATCTGCTTAATTAGCGTGGAGATTGTCATGACAATTAAAAAGGACACAAGCAGAGAGGACGCACAGAAAAAAAACAGGGAGAAGACGGAGCGGCGGCGATTGTGTGGCAGGAGCGGGGAGGCGGTGTATCCAGACAGGCAGACTGTACGGTAAGACTGGTCGCCGTCGAGGAGCGGCGGCTGGGTCGCTGACAGGGTTCGCCAGGAACGGAGGACTGGATGTGGTGGAGGACCGCGCCCTTCCTTTGCTCAGATAAGGACAAACTATAGACTGGCTTATGGGTTGATTGTCATGGGCTGTCCGCACCTCCTTCGCTTCTGATATTGTTTTAAAATAAATTATTGTAACTTTTACGGGTTTTGTTTCGTAACTGTTCACAACTCCTGCAGTTATTTAGTTGGTACACCACTCGGGTGCCACAACAGGATCTGATCAAAAGAGCTTCTGTTTCTACAACTGGACATGAGAAATAGTGGGAAGTTAAAAAAAATTATGTTAGATATTGATGGTTGGGATAAACACAAATCCCGGCCCCTAATATGTAAATTAATTTCACAAAACGATGTTTACAAATGTTCATTTTTATAAATTATGATGATTTTCTGTTTACAACTAATGAAAAGACAATATTTAAGATTTCAATATTACATCAAACTAATAAAATATATATTATGCAAAAATGAGGGCTTAGTTAAAAGCAGCTTTAACATTTGCTTAAAAGTTATTTTCAAAAGATAATGCACATCAGTGAACATATTCTAATTTATTGATTTTAGGTACGGCTCAAATCCTGAAGTCAATCTTTTCACCTGTTATTTTAGACTCCCATATCCTTTCTTAGCAGCTGTTTTTAATGTCATGAATGGCAGCTAAAAGTCTTCTCAGAAGTTTATTTTGTATTTTGATATTTTTTGAGTGAAGAGGCATGAAAAGGCCATTCAGTCCTACAGAATGAACCAGCTCTCCTTTCAGATATAAATTTACAGCACCACCTTGTGGTCATTTCCTACTTTACTTCCTCTCCTACTGACGTGCATGCAACACAGTTACTCCTAGAGGCACAATCGAACTCCGAAACAAAAAATGATTAAACACAACCTACACAAAATTGATAAACTGTTTAATCGCACCTCTCGTTGTGGCAACATGGAGCAGCTCTGTTACGATGATTCTGATTTGTTCCTTCTGAAGACCTTTAGTTCATCTTTATTTGATCGAGGTCCAGCACTTTTGGACGAATATTCCTGGACCTGGAGCTAACCTCCAGCTGTTAGCATGTCATGACAGTCATGAGACTTTCTTCAGTCAGAGGCTTATTCAAATTCAATGCAAGACTGACTGCTCCTGGAAATCCATCCTACCCTCAGCATTACTATTCATAACAACTGGTAAAAAATTTTTATAACAATATTTAGCTTCAATTTGGGATAAATAAAGCTTTTTTTAAAACTGAATTATTCTAACTAAAAATTGTAATTGATTAGAATAATTGGAAAGGCTTTTTTTGTTTTACCTTAGGTGCTGTTTTCTGTTATTTTCTTTTGGAGCTGTGCAGTTCTGTAGGAAAAGCTACATAAAATCCTTTTTTCATGTCATCCACTCTGAAATCCAAGTCTTTTTAGAATCTGTGAAGGTGATAAAAATTGTGAAGTTTTCATCTTTGAAGAGTTTACCTACTGCAAGTAATATATTTACTGTTCAGTCTTTGCACAGATTCCTACTTCTAAAAAAATCTCTTAAAGATAAAGCAGGTAAATCACACATTACTGCTGCACTCTGACTTTATTATTCATCAGTGGTACAGAAAATGGAAAAACAAACATTTAAGCTTCAGCACATCAAGAGCCCTCAAAAAAAGACTATTTCAATACATTTTCTTATATAAATAGTTCATTTTTTTTCTTACAGCTGATTCAGGATAAAAGCTTCTAGTTCCAGTTTGTTATTTTATTTAATTCTTCCCTGGTTCCTTTGTCATTCTGAGAATTCCCAAATGCCAAATTCTGCTTCTGTTCATTCACATTTGTGTCTTGTGTCACATTTGTGGATGGAATTCCAAAGTCCTAGAAAAAAATGGGAACACGAAGACTTTTACGTGCAAATGTGAGATTTTTCTGATTTTCTTAAAGTTACAAAGTCGACTATTTTTACCTGTTTTTTCTCCACAGCAGGTCGATGTAGTTCTCTTTATCCTCTAAAGACTTGGTTAACGAGTCGACTTCTCTCTGTTTTTCCAGGAGTTCTCTGAGGAGACGATGATTCTTTTGCTCCAGGGTTTCACAAAATGCCTGCTCAGCAGACAAACAGTGTTTGAACTGAATCAAAAAGTCAGTATTCAACCCGTCTGAATGAAACTAAACTCACCCTGCTTTCCTCCGTACTGTAAAATGGACTCGATGGGTCGTCCACAGAGAGAAAGTATGTCACAGGTTCACTGAGAAACCAGAAATCTCTTTAGTAGTTGAACAAAGATGACTCAGGGGGCCGTCTGCAGGAAGGGATCGTACCTTGTGCTGATATGTTTGTGCAACATCAGATTCTCTAGAAAAGTCTGCAGTCCCAAACGTCTCTTCTCCAGAAAACTTCCATCATAGTTGTCTTTGAATCGTCGTTTAGGAGGCAGCGCTTGATGGAAACCGGGGAACAACTCTCTAAGCTGCAACAATGACACAGATAAAAGGAAAAGATATATATTTGGTTACCATGGCGTTAGATTACAGAGAGTCAACATAACTTTTTAACAATGATTTCATTTATAAAGCAGCCTAAATCAGATAAATTTGTGAAAAGGTAGTTGTAGTTCTTCTTACATCATGAATTAACAGTCATTAAGTTAAAAACAATTCTGAGTATAATTGTAGGCACAACTATGCAGGATTACTGTCACACCTGTAACATCAAGAAATTACTTAAACAGAACCAGTCCATCAACACGAAGTAGGCTAAAAGGTTTCAGAAGGCAGAACATGGCTGAAGAAATTCAAGATTTAAAGGGGCAGTACTATGTTTTTCCCCCCAGTCACGTAGTATCGTTTTATAGCACAATCAAGTTACTCTGAGTTGTTGTAAAAATGTTGTATATATAAAATATATACAACATTTGTAATTTGACTTCTGAACATCTTGAAATTGGGTCTCTGTCTCTTTAATAAAACTCATGTTCTTTCTGAAACTCCGCCTTCAGGAAGTCATCACAACATGGCTCCTCTATTAGGCCTTTATCAACATTGCACTGAGAAGTCGCTCCTATAAAGAACCCAGCAGATGCGTAATTCCACCGAGTGTTTGCTAATTGATGCTGGCTAGTCTGAAGGAGCTTATTGGGGGAGTCGCAGAGGAGGGCTGCTCTGTGAGGCCAGAGCTCTGAGGCTTGGAAACTGCAGCTCTGAAGAAGAGCTTCGTCCTCCATGGCAGAGCTTGGTCCACCCAGGAGTTTTACACAACTGAATGGTTGCCATGGAGATTAAAGGATTTCTCAAACATGTATAAAAGAAACAAAACAACACTCTAGTATGTTTTTGGTGAGGGAATAACTTAATTACATGACATAAAGTTTTTTAAAAAGTGGATTTTATATAATGCTGCCCCATCTATAAAAAAACAAAATTATTGAGATTTTGAGTCAGGAAAGGGTTGCAAGTTGTTTGTTTCTATGGCTTTGAAACTCAAAGAAAACACTCTAATGTGTTATTAAAGCCCAGAATAGCATCTAAATAAGTGCAGATTTTAGTGTTTATGATTTGATAATAAGATAGAGACTGGACAAAAGTGGCATCCATGAGTGTCAAGGAAAACACAGGAAAAAAATAAAAAAACAAAAAACCCACTTAGTATCAAAATTTCACAAATTTTGGATATTCTCTATAAATCAAATCATCCCTTAAAAGCTGAATTTTGTATTTACTCAGGCTGTGTTTGTCTAAAATTAATGTAAACAGAAGAAATCGGTGAGGGAATGTTTTTCACAGCACTGTACCTGCTCTTAACCGATTTCTAACCTGTAGAGAAACTAAACCTCCTCCTTCGTGTTGCTCCTGGCTTCACGCTCTGTCAGGTCATGACCTTCATACGAGGTCAACCTTGATGGAATTGTGCGGTCGGTGTGTGCAAATAACTCCCACCTGATCGCTGAGCATGCAGAAGTCTGCATATCTTCTGAAGATCAGCCAGCTGCCTCCTTCAGGCCTCTTTATAAGAATCTTATAAACCTACAAAACAGATGAGGCTTTATAGAGTTATTGTTGAGCGATCAATATAAAGATAAAGTATCCTGGACATACATCTTGTTTTTATGCTTATTTTACATACGTGACATGTACCCATTGTGACGTATTCTGAATCTTCTCAGACAAACAGCTGTGGAAAGAGCCACTTCATATAATCACCGCCTTCTAAATAACATTACCTGGTGATCATAAAAGGTTTGTTGTTTATTGCTTTATTTTTAGCTACAAAAAAAGAAAAACATGTATATGATGCCACTGAGTAGGTAAAAAAGAAACAAAAAAAATACATATGCATCCACTTATTCACAAATATATACAGTAACATAAGAACAAGACATTGTCTGGGTCAAGTTCTTGTTTTATGTAATAAAACCTTATTTAGAATGCAGTTAGCTTGAAAAGGAGAAGACAGACTTATTTACTCCCACTCCCTTTAAAAATTATCTAAAAATCTACAATACATAATGAAATAATATGAAATTATTGTTAATTCTACACATGTAGTGTGCACGGTTATTACTTTTTAGCATTCTTTGGAACTGCTGTGGCTATCAACTTCTGTTTTTTGGTTTTTATTTGTGTGTTTTGGGCTTTTCTGTGATGTTTCTCTTTTTAGTAATGTCTGTAGTTTTTATCCTAATGCTTGTGGTGTGAACACCAGAAATAATAGTTTCTACTATGGTACGGACAAATGGGGGATCCTTAAAAAAGCTGACTAAAACTAAACAATGAATTCATTTTTAAAAATATGATCAGTTTTCTCTTAATCTAAATATGATGTCACCCCCCATCTGCCATCACAAATACTAAAATAAAAAAAATGACAAAGCTGGCATCTGAATCATTTTCAAAACTTTTGGCTGGGAATGTTCCTGTAAAACTGTTGGTCATGCGACTAAATTTGCAATAAACCCTCAAAAGAATTACCATAAAGACAAAAATCCGAAAATGAAAAGAGCAAGCGAGTGTCATTACAGATTTCTTGATTTTCATTCATGATACGGTAGGGCTGGACGATACGGCTGACAAACGTATCAGCATATCAGCATTTCATATATCGATAATTATAGATTAGTTGTTTTTTTATATCTAAAATACTGGCACCACATTTCCTGTTTTATCCACAGTTTTCACTCCATGTTGTTGTTTGTTTGTTTGTTTGTTTGTTTGTTTGTTTGTTTGTTTTTTAGCAGTTATGAGTCACAGTGATAAACCTGAAACTGTTGCTGTGACTCATTTGGCTGTTGCTAGGTAACCAAAGAAAGAGTGATTTTGGTTGATGCCACCAATCTTACCTAGCTGTCTGTAAGAAGTTGAGCAGTTAAACCCTTTCCTCTGCCTACGTCCCCCAGAATGCTGTGGGGTTCTGAATGGGAATTCAGTGAATATTCTATATATTGAATTTCGTCCTCGTCCTAGAATAATGGCCTAGATCTTTTTTTTTTTTTTTGACAAAAGTGATTCTTTTTCTGCCTTAATCATCTTTTGAGGAAAAAATGACTTAAGCCCTTATTTTAGGATGAACACAATATTGAATATTATATCAGACGTATTACCTATTGTTATTCATCATGTATCTACTGTGATATTTACTGTTTTGATTTATTGTCTTTATCTGGGACCGGACTTCCTACCGTGAACTTTTCCCTCTCCTTCAGAATCTCATAGCCCAGCAGAGTTGCACTGATGGGTTTCTCCTCTTTCTCGGTGTTCCCTGGCCTGTCACTCTGCTCTCCTCTGGGTCTGCTGCAGGCCTCATCTACGGTGAGCAGAGACTCCCCTCTGTTCAAACTGGAGTTGTTCACTATGAACCAGTTGACAGATAAATGGACTGGAACAAACGGGTCAGCCATCCGACGGGTTTTTTTTTTTAAGTGAACACCTGCTAACACACACGAAACAAGTTCATTCATAGCCACAATGAGAAATAAATACAAGGACATCATTCTGACAGATTACTTACTTCAACTCAGAGTCGCTTTAATCCCAGTGTCATTCCTTTTCCGAACTGTGGGATGGTCTTGCTGACTCATCAAAAACAACGGGCCACTTTATGTGACTGGATGTTGAGTAAGCAGTAGTTATAGTGCAGCAAGGAATTTATTGACCTTATGGGTTACACGAGTTTACGATTACAGAGGGTCAATGCACATACAGTCATGTGCTACTGTGTACCAGACAGGAGGGACTTCCTGTTTCTATTAAATGCCAATTCAAATCAATTAACTGGATGCTTCAGAGAAACTTCTCAGCCATGTCATATTTACAAAGGAAAGGCTACAACTAGCTTTGATATTTTAAATGGATTAAATCCTGGATTGTTAGGTCGTTAAATAATGGATATATTTTTTATATTTAAATCATTTCTAGGACACAAAGGAGTATTAGCTAAGAAAAAATTATTATGATAATAAAGTCATAATATTCAGAGAAATATGTAGTGTCACAAGAGTGTTACAAGTCGTAATTGTACTAGAATAAAATTGAAATAAAACAAGAATAAAAGTTAGAATATTGCCAGGATAAATTTCCAATGTTAGGAGAATTAAGTTGTCATTTTATGAGAACATCACGAAAAATAATAATCAAAAAAATTATAATGAAGAATGTTGAGCATCTTGTGAATTTGTATTCACAAGATGCTCAATTTGTAGGTAATATTTTGTGTATTACCTTTACACAAAAGGAAATACTTCAGCTTTTAACCACATCAGTATCAAATGATGATACTGATGAGTTGCTGGACTTTTAAACAGTTTTACAAAGACTGTGTCTATTTTGAAGACAGAACCATTTTCATCACCATCAAGCTTTGTCTGTCAGAATTAGGATATTGTTTGAAAATTGCATGATGGCCCCAATTTTTTTTTTTTTTTTAATACCAAGAATCCAAATTGTCTTCCTCCATCTTTGTCATACTTCATCAAGCTTTAATGTTTTCCTCTGTTTACAATCTCCAAAAATATCCAAAAGAAGACCATATCTCAAACCATAGACTTTGTTGATATGGCATTGCATTTCTAATCCTATTATGGCTGATGCCATATGGCACTGGTGGAAAAACTCTCCCGATTTTTTTTTTTTTTTTTTAATGTTTGCTTATTTAATATCATTATTTTTTTATTTATTGAAGAGAGATGTTTAAAAATAATTTATTTGTTTATTAATTAATTTATTTTTTTGTCTTATACTAATCTCAAAATTAGTATAAGATCTGAAAAACCGAGGAAATGGTGACATTTTCTCTGAACTCACGGTAAACAAGCAGTCACATGGCTGAATGCAAGTTCAGTTTGACACCTTTGAGGAAAACCCCGATTTCGGGAAATTCCCACACATCTAAAACCCCCTCCCCCCGATAATCAGCTTGTGCAAATGGAGGAATATCTTACTTCAAGTGAAATTGAAACAATAAAATGAACTGAGCAACTTACACAAATATTGTAATATTGTCATTATTAAAAGAACGCACACACGTCCTATTAGAAATTATGGGCTTACACATACTCATAACTTTTGCTTCCATCCAATAACATGAACTACGTGTTATTTTAACTGTTGAGATATCTTTAATCCTACAGACTTGAACATATCACACAGACCCGGAAGTGAGTCGTCATTGGCAGCACAGAAAGTGGCTCTCTTAAATAATCGCGCAGCTCCCGCAGCGGCGTCTTTCTTGCCGTCCTGCGTTAACTCCCCCCTCCGCTGAGTTGCCAGGGCGGCACTACATCAATAAATCGAGAATTGAACGTGTACGTGCTCGGTTATGATGTTCTCTTAATCGGTAAAAAAAAAAAAAAAAAATCGCTGAACAGCGTCGCTGGCTCCTCTCTTTCAGCCTCTAGTTAGCTTAGCTCGCTAACATTCGCGACGTTTCGGCAGGCGAGTAAATGGGATAGCTGTTCCTCGTTGCGTTTTACCGCAAGAGGCAGTTCTACTGTCTGTCCGAGGCTGAGCCTGTCCAGTTTGCATATACCTCCCTGTTAGAGAGCGTTATGGAGCCGCACGGGGCCGCGGGCTGCGTCAACATCGGGACCTTAACGAGCACTCTGCCGGTGATCCCCTACCAGAAGTTGACGGACCTGTACTACCTGAGCAGAGGGGGCTTCGGCACCGTCTTCAAGGCGCAGCACTCCGACTGGAGAACCACCGTGGCCATCAAGTGCCTGAAGCTCGACTCGGTCGGAGAAAGGTACCCGTGTCAATGTTGTTTTCAGTGCAGTAAGTTTGTTTGGAGATGACGTCCTAACTGAAGTTAAATTGGAGGCCAAATTCGGTTTCCGTTGGACTTTCACATTGTAAAAATGATGTTAGCAAAGGTCTTAGTTTGCTGCAAATTATATCAAAACTCAATCAGGTGGCGGACAAAATAAGAAGAACCAAAAAGTAAAGCGTCCCCACTTCATGATCCTGCCACCACTATGCTGCATGGTGTTTCTTTCAGGTTTGCATTGAATAGAGAATCACAAAACTATTAAAAATCAGAATTCCTTCCATATTTTCACTTTTATCAGACTACTAAAGAAAATATGGTGAAATTATTTAATGTTTTGCCACCATCCCGCCAGTGGTTGTTGCTTTCAGGGGTTTTCCACCAGACTGTCACTTTAAAATTGGGCAAGCCAGACATGCAGATGGCCACGCTTTAGCTTTTGGGATCATATGGGCATGTTTACTAATGTCAGCATGGCGCCAATTAGACTCGTGCAGGTGGGAAACTTTTCTGGATAAGCTGCAGTTCTGCCTAAATCAGCCACTTAAAGATTTAGTGGCTGATTTAGGAAGGTATGTGCTTCCTTTTCAACATCACTACGGTCCTAACACATTCAGAGGAAGCTGTGCCAAAACAAAGCAAACAAAATGCATAATCATAGTGTTGATGATTACATAAAAATTGAGTGCTCATCATTTAATCATTTTTTTATTATTATTTGTTATTAGTATTATTATAAATGCTCCTAAATCAAGTGATATTAAATGTTTTAGGGCTGGGTTTTGATACTGTTTGTGAAAAATAATAAAGAACCAGCTAATAATTTAAAATAGTGATATTGTAACAATGCAGGGTTAGCAGTTTTATTCATGGAATAATTGCTGTGAGTTTCTGCAACAGAATGACTCTAAGAGTACCAGCAACATGTTCTAAGGCTTGTTTTTCTTGTCATTAGGTTGAAAACTGTTTTTAATCTAGATTTCCACAAAACATATAATCTCATAAAAGAAAATGTATTCATCCTCTCCTTGCAAAAGTTTTCTACATTGTAAACTCCAAAAATGTAAGTAAAATTGTTTATTTTTAAGATTGACAATAAATTTAATGGAATAGATGTTAGTCAAATTTCTAAGTAGCTTTTTTTTCAGTCATTTCACATTTGAGGCTCTAAACAAGTGGTATTTAGCTGGACTGAAGGCAAAGCTGTATCTTTCTAAGGTAACGTAAAGAAATACCTTTACTTTAATAGAGGGTGAAGGTATTTACCCTGCAGACAGTCTAAAGACAGAAGTTTAGCAAAAAAAAATGTCAATTGACTGCATAAATTTCTTTATATCCTTAGCGTTTTTCTTGGAAGGGCAGAGGGGCAAAGGTCACCTCCATCTTTCGCTGTGTTTCAGAGAGAGGAAGTGCTTGCTGAAGGAGGCCGAGGTGCTCCACAAAGCCAGATTTAACCACATCATCCAGATTTTTGGCATCTGCAACGAGCCCGAGTTCTTCTGCATAGTGACAGAGTTCATGAGCAACGGCTCTCTGGACCAGCTGCTGCACGAGGTAACCGCCCGGTGAAGGAGGGATTCGTTAGCAGAACCTGGTGGGTTAGAATCGGCTGAGTTGGAGCAGGGATGCGTTTAAGCCATGCAGGACATCGGCCCTTCACTGCTGTACCCTAAGACTTTTAGAACTGCTAGAGTCGTAGTAGCATAAACAATACTCAAGTATTTGAAAATTATGAAATTATAGTATTTTTCTCGGGCAGTGAGGACAACATGGAGCATCTTGGTAAAGAGACGTATTAAAATTAGCATCATCAGTTGGTATCAGTTTATACCTAGCTATATATTGGACTATATATTAACAGGCTTGTCACAATAACACGTTTTTCTGGAGGATAAATTGTCCCAGAAGTTGTTGCAATAAACAGTAATTTTGTTTATCGCAACAAAATTATTGTTGCAATAAAACAAGCAATTACATAATAATGCAGGAACACATTCTCAAAAAGATCAATAAACTTTAAATCACTATGAGCATTTAACACTGGAACTCAAAGAGGTTTTAAATATTCAAAATAAACAACAAAAAAATAAACGACAGAAACAACAAATGAAATTAATTATGAGGTCTCTGTAAACTAAATATTCAATCAATCAATCAAATTTTATTTGTATAGCACATTTCAGCATCAAGGCATTTCAAAGTGCTTTACATAATTAAAATAAAATAAAATAAAAATAAAAACAGCAGCAAATAGTCCTTCAAAAAAATGTCTAGTTGAGACCAAAACTCCAAACTGAAGAGTTTTATCATCCAGTTTTTTAGTAGAAAAAGAGAAAAGAGAAAATCAATAAATCAAGCAAATAGAAATTATTGAGCTTGTTTTGACTTATTATGTGATTAACTGATTTACTGCGACAGGCCTACCCGTTAATGTTCTGTAATTAGCATGAGCATTATCCCTATTCTTTAGTGAACATGGCACCAGAACGATTTCCAGCCGATCTTCTCATTTTCTGAACTGTTCTGCTTCTCCTATCACTATGGCAACTTGCCATATGAAAGAACCACATGTCCTGCACTGTAGAAGTTCAGCTTATCTAGTTAGCTTAACAGTTCCTATTTTTTGTAACTGTGTTGGTCATACTCTTTGTTCTCCTGCTCCAACTGATAAACCTCTTTATCATCTGTCATTAACTCAGCCTTTATTTATTTATTTTTGCCTTGGCTTGCCAGTAAGTGAAACTGAAAATAAAAGTGAAATACTGAAGCCTCCAGTCTTTGGTGAAACTATGAAACGGTCCAGAGATCAGGAGTTGAACTGAGTCTGGGGGAATTCCCACATGAGCTATTCCACATTAGATTCTCTCTCACTTTGTGTTTGGGCTCTTGCATCACATTTCATCAGCTAAAGTGAATCCTTTCCACCCACAGAAGGAGCTGTACCCGGTCCTGGCCTGGCCTCTGCGCCTGAGGACGCTGTACGAGATCGCCCTGGGGGTCAACTTCCTCCACAACATGACCCCACCTTTGTTGCATCACGACCTGAAGACACAGAACATTCTGCTGGATGGAGAATTTCATGTGAAGGTTTGCTGCAGAGACGTGTCACAGAGGGTCGCTGGTAGAAGTGTGGTGCAGCGGGTTAGCTCTGAAACGCTCTGCGCTCTTTGCTCTTCTTCTCTCCAGATCGCAGACTTTGGTCTGTCCAAGTGGCGGCAGCTGTCTGTGAGTAAAGGCTCCGGGTCCAAGCCAACCGAGATGGAGGGCACCGTGATCTACATGCCCCCCGAGGAGTACGATCCATCCAAGACCCGGCGGGCCGACGTGAAGCACGACATGTACAGGTGAGGCTTCAGAGCTGGAGCTACGGTCGCCTCAGTCGGGTTGATGATTCTGTCTTAGCCTGGATAGAAATTTATAGTGTTTTGGAAAACTATTCACACACTTTGATCTTTGCATTTCGTCACATTACAACTTCTGACTTATGTGTAGTTTTTACAGGCATGTTGTTATTTATACCCAGTAATTAGTGCCGAATGCCAAATCAAAGGGAAAAATAATGCAGAAAAACCATTGAAGAGCAACTCAAACACACTCACAGTCTTCTTTTTTCTTGCTCTTCTCAATCAGGTCAGGTTTTTATACTAATCTGATTTAGAGAAATCTGATCTTTGGACGAAATTGATGCTATTTTTGTGACATTATCAGTTCATTTCCATTAATATTTCTCATCCAAAAAAGGCTTCAGGAGAAAAAAAAGTTTTCTAACAGAGTGTATTAATTAAATGTTACAAACTTGGATTTCTGTGAATTCAATTGCAGACACTGATAAGGATAAGTACATGCGAATTGAACATCACGTCTTCATTGTGTAAAATTCTCCGTCTCTTTTCTGTCCTGATGGAGTCTCCTCCTGCTCGTCACTCATTGATCCCAGATTCTCCAGATGTGAGAACAAGTCATCAGTTTTGATGCTCATGTTGCTCCATAGTTCAGAAAGTTGATCTGATGGAGCAAAACCAATGCGATTTTTGGATTCAGCTCATCAAAATTGCCCTAAAACAGTTGAAAAAGCCAGACAATATTTTGACTGTTGACCAGTGTAATAATCTAATACTTTGTTTTGATCTGACACACAAGAACAATTTACAATACAAGGTGATTGTGACACAAACAGCAACAGATAAAGATCTACCAACTCTTTAGGGGCGCGGTAGATATCAGAACGACAGCCTCTGTCAGCACATGATTCAGCTCAGATTTTTGCCATAGTTATGGAAGGTGGATCCCCTGCCTGTCAGAGTGAAACGCTGAGTGGAGCTGATCTGTCATGTGAAGTCAAGAATACAGAAGTGACGAGGGAGGATTTGGTAATTCTATCAGCCACAGAGTTTATGAGGGAGGAAATAATTGCTATGAAAACGAACAAAGTTCACTTTCCTCTGCGGGGGGTTTCCTGCTGCTTTTGAGCAAGAGAAATTGATTGCTGCAACAAAGCGGGCCAGTGAGTCATCATGCTTCCCTAAACTTGCTCCAAAGTGGAGAACAGAAAACCATCTGAGAGGTTTGACTCCTGGTTTCCCTAACCGGTTTCTCTCTGTGACCTTTCCCCCTCAGCTACGCTATCATCATGTGGGAGGTCCTGTCCAGACAGATTCCATACGAAGGTAGGTCATTATTCGGCGTACCGTCATGGCAACCGCATGTGTGACTCCCCCGGCGGTGAGCTGAACGTGTGGCTGTGTCTCTGTGCGCTCAGAGGTGACCAACCCTATGCAGATCATGTTCGGCGTGCTGCGTGGGAAGCGACCCGACACCAGCCAGGACAGCCTGGCCGCCGACATCCCCAGCAGAGACACGCTCATCAGCCTGATGACCAGCGGCTGGACCTCCAACCCCGACGAACGGCCCTCCTTCCTCAGTAAGCCGACACGACGAGAGTCACATCCGCTCATCTCGCTGAGTAGCAGGAGTCATGTGACAGTTTGTCATGACTAAGCATAAACTAAGTCCGAGCTTGCTGTTACATGCCGTCACACCTAGTCTGAATAAGAACTTTTGGTGACGCTTTATTTGACAGGGTGTGCAAAAGACTGACATGACACTGTCATAAACATGACAGCATCTGTCATGAACATGAAGGAGTCTTTATGAATGTCTGTGACTGATGTCATGAAGTGTCATTCGGTAAATAATGACACTTTTAATGCAAAATTGCTTTAAGAATTCCATTAAAAGTCCATTAAAAGTGCCAACTTTGCATTATTTTGTAAATAATGACACTTTAATGCAAAGTTGGCACTTTTAATGAACTTTCAGTGTTATGCACACCCCGTCAAATAAAGTGCTACCAAGTTTTTTGTTGTTGTTTATGGATTTTGAAGGCAATGGCATCTGACCAAGGTTTATAGTGGGAAATTTTGCTGGACGATAAATTGTCCCAGAAGTTATTGCGATAATATTGTTTTGAGAGCTTTTTCAAGTAATATAATCCTATCAGAATAATACTGCAATAAACCTTAATTTCTAACGCTAACACTGGAACATGTAGACATCTCTAAATATCTGAACTAAATAAAGGAAAACGCACTCCACGGCGCCGACTGATGCGTCCGTTTCATTTTCAGCGTGTTTGATTGAGCTGGAGCCGATGGTGAGACGATTCGACGAAATCGACTTCCTGGAGGCTGTGCTGCAGATCAAGAAGTCAAAGGTCAGTCTCTTCTTTAACGTGTTCATGGGGTTTTTAAATGGCGCAGGGACAGATCCGGTGGTTTGTATTGAGACTGCAGTGGAAGTTCATGAAGGAAGTACCTGTGATGTTTGTCATGTTACCAGTGACGGGACTTTGAAATGCTTTCATGTTATCACTTCATTTACATCTATTGGAAAGACAGATATGATGAAATTTTCACAAATACAATTTAACAGAAGAAAGACTTCTATGTATTTTTTTTTATAAAATGAGATGTTAAGAGAATAGGTTTAATTATTCAACAAAATACTTCAGATCAGAGACGGTGGCGTTTCAGTCTGTTTTTGCTTGATGCATGAAGTGCATGAAGTTAAAAAAGTGAAACTAAAACAAAAGTTTCATTTGATTACCTTTGAAAACAAGTAATTGGTAAAATAACTGGATTACTTTCTTGGGGAACTAATTACTGTTTCCAAGTTGGGCTCACCGAACAATTTATTTCAGTAATCAACTATTCGATCAATTATGTGGATAAAAAATGAACACATTCTGTAGGTTTTTTTCATTTAACCTCTCAAGTTTATTTTAGACGATATTAAAAATACATAAAAATGCAAGTAAATAAATAATTCAGTCCCTTTTTTAAGTAAGAAAGTAAACATTTTAATTTTAACAACATTCTTTTAGTGAACATCTGATCATTTGTAACACAGGAGCATCTGCAACTAACATCAACATGTAACATTTTCAGGCCTGAACATCAATAGAGTGGAGAATTGATCTGGTGACCATTTATTTAATTAACCCATTAATAACTGGACAGCAAAAGGTGATTCATAGGAGTTTTTTTATTTTTCTTACAGAACTTGAACCAGGTGGAGCTAAAACCTGCTTGAGGAGTTTTGGTTTGAACATATTTACAGACAAACAATGTTTTTTCATTCTAAATACAAAATGTGTATATATTTTTTGTACAGTTTTGGCTTCATTCCAGCTCTGACTGTGATGTTCTTAGAGTCTGAATACTCCAGTTAGCCACTAATCACTAAGTCAGCTGACGATTATTCCAATAATCAGTTGATCACAGCTCGGGGTGTGACGAATAAACCTGCACTTTATCACAAACATGCAGTTCCATTTCAACAAATACTCATAACAATACAAAGAACAACAGAAATATAAAGCAGACAAACATAAGAAGCAAAGAACGACATCATGAATTCAATCAGATATCTGAAACTGGATGGAAAGAAGAAACAGAAACTTATTTAATTATTCAATCATTTAAGTTAAAATCCATATAAAATATATTTATAAATTTGGTTGTAATGTGATGAACTGTTAAAGGGAACAAATACTTCAGACACTTTCAGTAATGAAAGCTTTCTGTAACGCTGTTCGTAGTAAATGGCACACACATTATTAGTCAGAGGGGTGAAGCCATCATCTCACCAGCTGATGCTGATTCCTGACCCAGGTGAACAGAGAGACGCTGAATATTGCAAACTGTGTAATCTGGGACAGTTTGATCTGTTACGTGACGCCCAGCAGAGGCTGAGAGACGAGAAATCCCCCCTCAACACATCCTTCTCCTTTTCTAGTTTCTGTGTGCGTGTGTGTGTGAACACACCAGTGAGTGGGCCAGGTCTGGTTGGACAGCTGAAGGAGGAAGCAGAGGTCGCTGCACTCTTAAAAATAGAAATGGGTTGATGTGTGGCGGTTTGAAAGGTGTTAATCTAAAACCTTTTTTTATTTTTTTAGATCTGGGGTTAAAACAAGGAGCTTTGTTTAGGTGACAGGAAACTCGTCTGCTTTCTAATTTCGGCTTCCTCCTTCGTCTACACGGTTCTTCCTTTGCTCTGGTGGATTCAGTGACTGAGGTCTGCAGTGTGTGACGTTGCTGTGTGCTTCCTGTTCCCTCACAGCTGAGTCGGAGTTCAGCCTGCTGCTCAGCTCAGCCTCCGATGTGTAAGAAGAGCAATGAGGCCGTGTCTCTGAACGACCTGAAGGAGCCCGTCACCCCGTGGCCTTTGGTTAGTATCCACCTGCCCTCCACCCGCATGGAACACAGGAAACACAGGAAGGCTGTGATGTAATATTAAAAAAAGAAACAACATTTATGTGTTGGACCAGATTTTTTCATTCCATATTAGAACCTTTTCTATTGTAAACTCTTCTCACCCTTTGACCTTAAGACCATAACTGACGTTAAAATGTTCACTAAGGATTGGCTAAAGAGAAACCAGAACTTTGCTCATTTTGAAATATTTTAATTGCTTTAATTTGTTTGGAAGGCTTTGTTTATGTCTATGTTTTTGAACATGTTGTATTTACTATTATTCTTCACTTTTTATTTAACAGCGAAATGTCCTCCTAAGGACAAGTGTTTTCTCTAAATAGTCAGTGTTTATAGGAAAATCTTTTTTTTATGTCCTTACATAATAAACAGCAAACCAGATGGATGAATAATCCCTATGAATGGCAGAAAGCCTGTATCCAGGTCCGTCCCACTCTAACAGACAGAAGCAGTGCTGCTGTAATCCAGTCAGACATTAGTTGCTTCATTTGCAGCTCAGACTGTTTGAGTCGAAGCTTATCTGGTTTGTCTTGTTTAATGCGGCGTAAAAATCCATGTTGTTGCCGTGAGCTGTGTGTGCAGGTCACACTGCGGTCAGGACAGTTTAGACAGCCGACTTCTTATTATTATTCTTATCAACTCAAAGCTGCTGGTCTCGTCTCTGGTGAATGTAGCCGCAGCAGCTCAGACCAGAATCACTTCAGAACAGATTCCTGCTGAGGCTCACACCAACGAGTCAATGTGTTGTAATGTTTTAATCCATCTCTGCTTCTTCGGTGTAACTTGTTACATTATTGAATTTCATCTTGATGCCTCTTCCTTCACTCAAGAAATTAAAATTCCACTCAAACTTTAAAGCAGCAGTATATTTTCCATATTTGTTGAAACTGCCACCATGTTGTGACAGTTTGGTATGAAACAGATAATCTGTGAAAGCATCCAGTTCCTCTTCCTTGTCCCAGTGCTGACTAGAAAGAACCAAACAGAGCAAGGAGGCGGGTCTTGGTGCTGTCAATCACTCTCCGTCACGCTGTAGCTAACACAGCCTGTTATACACGCTAGGGCTAACTAGCATAGTGACCGATGGCGGCAGATAAGCTGTTTTCCCTGTAACGTTGTTTCTCCACTACAGCACATTTAGCAGTGGGTACATGAGGTGATTGACAGTACTAAGACCCTCCTAAAATGACCCTTGATTTATGGTGGATTAAAACCCTTTTCTTTCTGCTGCTCTGTCTGAACAGGAAGCCTCCCAGGCCTGCTGCTCTGTCTTATACTCCCCCCAGGACGAAAACATCTCTCTACCCGGCAATCTCATCAGCACCAGTCCTGCTTCCTCTAAACGTAAACAACCACACGTTAACAGAAAGCTTTGGCTCAGGTCTTTATGTGATTAGACCCAACACAAAGTTATAACATTATGCATTTTCTGATAAGGAGAGCATGGATTTCTCCATCTGAAAAGCTACAGATTATTCATTTGTTAGGAGGATGGCGCAGTCAAAGTCCAGACATGAGTCTGAACCTGAACTGGTGCTCACATATTCCCTCCGTGCAACATGACTACAAAGAATGGGCAGAAATGGCAGTCTGACACTGGTAGAAACGCACCTGAATATAAACGCATGCCACACTTTTCAGATATTTATCTTTACAAATGATAAACCGTGTATCATTTTCCATCCGTTTTACAATTACCCACTTCTTTGTGTCGGTCTATCACATGAACACATTTCTGTCTGAGCTGATTGTGGACATACGGGTTCAGGTTCTGGGTGAGTTCTGACTCTTGTTCTGCTCTCGCCGATGCAGCGAGCCTTCCCTCCTCCTTCATTGCTCCTAACCTGGACCATCCGCAGTCTCTGAAAGATCCCTGTGAGAGCAGCATTCCCAATGGCTTCCAGAGCGCCAAACCCATGAACGACTTGAACATTCCCGTCAGGCCTGCCATGCCCACCATGGAGGCTGACGCAGCCATGCAGAACCTCAGCATGAACGGTATCAGCAGTCGGTGTGTGTGTGTGTGTGTGTGTGTGTGTGTGTGTGTGTGCGCGCGAGAAAGCTCTGAGGCATGTCCAGACGGTCTTCCATTTGTAGTTTATTTCAGTCATTGCCAGGTTTTGCTTTCTGTTTACATGCTCAGAGTTAGGAATGCACTGATTGACGTTTTCTGGATGATCTTTAAAAAGCCTGACCTGCCACTTCAGATTTTTTTTGTCTTTTTTTTTTCTGAAAAGTTGTTAAATATAGCGACAAAGTTGCGAAGCAACAGAGGATAAAGGATGTCTGCATGTTCTTAGAAAGTCTTAGTCTTTAATCCTTTTATTTAAAACATAGGCCTTAAAATGTCTTATATTTATCAAGAAAAATCAAATCAAAGTTGCCGTGAAATATGAAAATAACAGATTGTACCTGTCACAGTAACAAATTTTGCTGGGTGATAAATTGTCCCAGAAGTTATCGCAATAACCGATAATATTGTTGTCCACATAATAACGTGAGAACATATTCTCAAAGATCAGTAAACTTTAAATTCTAATGAACATTTAACACTGGAGCTGGAAGACATTTTAAACATCCAAAATAAATAAACAAAACAAACGACAAATAAAATGAATTATGAAGTCTCAGGAAACAAAATATTCTTCAACAAAACGTTTAGTTGAGACCAAATCAGCAGACTGAAGACTATCATCCAGTTTTTGGTACAATGAGAGAAACGAAAAATCATGCAAATGGAAATGACTGAGCTCATTTTAATTTATCATTATCATTTATGTACTTAATCTTGCATATATATTCTGTGTATTTTTTTCTTGCGGAATGAGTGAAAATTTGATGACATAATCGATATTATTTTCATAAAACGATTAATCAAATTGATTCATTTAACCCAACTTTTGTTTTTGAAGATTGAATTTCAGACAAAACATACAATTCTCTTTTCTGTCGTTGTATAGGTCTTAAATTTTGTTCATAATTGTCTTAAAAAGTCTTAAATTAGAGTTGGTGGCCAACCAGGTCAGGTGGTCAGATTTTCAGACCTTTGCGGGCGTAGATGAGATTTGTTTCCCCTGTAAGTATCGGCTGATGTCCCAGACGATCAAATCCTGACCGGTTTATCGGTGCAGCACTAGTCAGATTAACAGCAGGGCAAAAAATGGTCAAATAACCGTTTAGTTCACCTGATTTCACCATATAATCTCTCCCCCTCCTCCTTCTGTGTGGCAGCAGAGCACTCTCCCCCCCTGCACCAGTCCCCTCCCTCCCGGGGCCCCGTCGCCCACTGGATCGCCACGCGGCGCGAGGACATCGTCCTCCAGATGACGGAGGCCTGTCTGAACCAGAGCCTGGACGCGCTGCTCGCCCGCTCCATGCTGATGCGCGAGGATTACGAACTGGTGGTCAACCAGCCCACGCGCACCGCCAAGGTCCGCCAGCTGCTCGACAACTGCCACAAGCACGACGAGGACTTCTGCCGGATCGTCGTGCGCAAGCTGGTGGAGAACAACCAGGGAGGGCTGAAGCCGTACCCGCCTGAGATCGGCTCGCCCGTCTCGGCTGCCGTGCCCGGCGTGCCGCCCTTCTCCACGTCCTACAGCAACTACAGGAACTTTTAGCAGCAGCAGGCGAGGGGGAAAGCAAACGGAAACTCTTCAGGTTGACGGCACGACACTACAGTTCACACTCCGTGGCTCCGGTCTCAACATACTCACCTCACTTCCTGACCTGGGAAGGTCAGAAGGGAAGAGCTGGCTGAGCAGGATCAGTTACCGGTACTAACCCAACGAGATGTTTTCATGAAACCAAAAGGGTGTAAGACTGCATCAGTGATTTCATTCAAAATGGCTTTGATTAGAGAGGATTCAGCTGGATTTAAAGGTAGAGACGCACCGATCCACTTTTTTCACTTCTGGTACCGATATCTGAGGTTTAGTATTTGCCAATTTGATGCAGAAAAACAGCTGAATTGACTTAAAACGGAAAAATTACACTGAAGTACAGCTTAACTCAGTATGCAGATGCAGAGTTAATTTGATAATTCTGCATCAGTACAGCTCACTTAAATACACAAATTGCTTCACAAGCTTTGGTCAAACATGTAAAAACAACTTTCATTTGTTTAGTCAGTGCAATTAGGAGTAAAACAGTCAGTGTAAAATTAACAATAAAGAAACTGAAACTGACAAAAACAATAGGTTGATTGCCTTAGTCAAACAGCAAAGCTTCCTTCAAATGGTTCAGAAAGTGAAATCAGAAAATCTAAAAATGATGTAAAAAATTAATAAAGCATGATGTCACTCAGAACACAAATAAATAGAATTAGACTGAATAGATCTGTCTCTATAGATCAGACATCGTAAATCGTGTATCATTGTCACAGATACACAATTTAGAAATTTCTTCAATATTGGGATCAATATATTGGATCGGTGCTTCTGTAATTCCAGGGTTTAATTAACAGCAGTACCAAATGCCATTTGGGTCTAACTGATGTGTGTTCAGAGTGTGTACAGACCTCCTTGATGGTTCTTATTTAATTAGATCGAAGTAGCAGTCATATCTGAAGGTAGTATTTATTTCTCTGGGTTGTTCTTTGAGGCTTCAGTCCAGTTAGTGTTCGTCCCTTAGTCTCTCTCTGTGTGGGTTCAGTCTGGAATACAAAGGCTAACCATGTAGACATGTTAACATAAGTTCAGATTCATCTTCAGTCATATTAAGAGGAGGTGTGTGTGTGTAAGTGTGAGATGGATGTAAAAAGTGGGCCAAGATGATCAGCCATTACCACAGATCTATAATACTGGATTGGACACTGCCTATTAGCCGCTATAGCTAGAAGCTAAAGCTATTTTACAGGAATTTAACCAACTTTGGTGAAGTTTTAGCTAAAGTTGGTTGCGGCGCACGATGGCAAAGGGAAAATGACGTCTAAAAACCACTGGTGTCATACTTTTTTCACACATACCTGTTGCCGTGGCAACCAGCCAACAACAGCTCCACTAGCCGACAGAGCAGAGATTACTTTCAAGTTAATGAGAATCTACACACTAACAGAACGTGCAAACATTAAACTCACCCAAAAAACAGGACATTCAGTGAGTTATAGTTTTATGTTTTCAGGCTTTATGTTTAGTTTGCGATTATTAATAACTGATCATGAGAAGTGGCTCATTTAAACTCCTGCTCTACTGATGATCTGTCAGACACTGGGTGTGTGGGTCGCCTTACTTTGACATTACCTGAACCGAAACACCGAATTCCACAGCACATCTACATGTTAAGGTTTTCAAAGTCAAGCTAGCATGACTGACCTACCTCCCACTTTATCAAAAAAAAAAAAAGTTTTTCGATTAAAACTTGTTACCGACCTGCTAACTAGATCTTGTTATCTGGTTGTCATTGTATTGACAATTAATAGCAAAACATTGCGGGGTTTTTTCAGATTCTTTGATTGATTTAGTCATTTTCCCGACTCAGTGCTTAGCAACGGCACTTGTGTGTCGCACAGTAGACGCTTGACGTCCAGTCCAGTAATATGATCAACGGTCTTTTTTTTTTTTTTTGCCTCGTCTCACTCAGTATTCCTATAATTTTGTAGCTTTGCACCTTTTTGAACTCCTCCAGAATTAATTTTCTTTTAAAAACTCCTGTATTGAGAACATTAATTATTCCAAAAGGCACATGTGAAGGAAGTCCTCCTCACTCTCCAGGTAGCAAAAGCTAACCAAACTTTTGA